GCTTCCGGATTGTTTACGGATTTTTACCGGATTGTGGGGAGAAGGCTTCCGGATTTTTTTACGGATTTTTTCCGGATTGTGGGGAAAAGGCTTCCGGATTGTTTACGGATTTTTACCGGATTGTGGGGAAAAGGCTTCCGGATTGTTTACGGATTTTTACCGGATTGTGGGGAGGAGGCTTCCGGATTGTTTGCGGATTTTTACCGGATTTTGGGGAGGAGGCTTCCGGATTGTTTACGGATTTTTACCGGATTGTGGGGAGAAGGCTTCCGGATTTTTTACGGATTTTTTCCGGATTGTGGGGAGGAGGCTTCCGGATTGTTTACGGATTTTTTCCGGATTGTGCGGGAGGAGGTTTCTTGTTTTTTTTACGGATTTTTTCCGGATTGTGGGGAGGAGGCTTCCGGATTTTTTACGGATTTTTACCGGATTTTGGGGAGGATGCTTCCGGATTGTTTACGGATTTTTTCCGGATTGTGGGGAGGAGGCTTCCGGATTGTTTACGGATTTTTACCGGATTTTGGGGAGGAGGCTTCCGGATTGTTTACGGATTTTTTCCGGATTGTGGGGAGGAGGCTTCCGGATTGTTTACGGATTTTTACCGGATTTTGGGGAGGAGGCTTCCGGATTGTTTACGGATTTTTCCCGAATTGTGGGGAGGAGGCTTCCGGATTGTTTACGGATTTTTACCGGATTGTGGGGAGAAGGCTTCCGGATTTTTCACGGATTTTTTCCGGATTGTGAGGAGGAAGCTTCCGGATTGCTTACGGATTTTTACCGGATTTTGGGGAGGAGGCTTCCGGATTGTTTACGGATTTTGACCAGATTGTGGGGAGGACGCTTCCGGATTTTTTACGGATTTTTTCCGGATTGTGAGGAGGAGGCTTCCGGATTGCTTACGGATTTTTACCGGATTTTGGGGAGGAGGCTTCCGGATTGCTTACGGATTTTGACCAGATTGTGGGGAGGACGCTTCCGGATTGTTTACGGACTTTTACCGGATTGTGGGGAGGAGGCTTCCGGATTGTTTACGGATTTTTTCCGGATTGTGGGGAGGAAGCTTCCGGATTGTTTACGGATTTTTACCGGCTTGTGGGGAGGAAGCTTCCGGATTGTTTACGGATTTTTACCGGATTGTAGGGAGGAGGCTTCCGGATTGTTTACGGATTTTTACCGGATTTTGGGGAGGAGGCTTCCGGATTGTTTACGGATTTTTCCCGAATTGTGGGGAGGAGGCTTCCGGATTGCTTACGGATTTTTACCGGATTGTGGGGAGGACGGCTTCCGGATTGTTTACGGACTTTTACCGGATTGTGGGGAGGAGGCTTCCGGATTGTTTACGGATTTTTTCCGGATTGTGGGGAGGAAGCTTCCGGATTGTTTACGGATTTTTACCGGATTTTGGGGAGGAAGCTTCCGGATTGTTTACGGATTTTTCCCGAATTGTGGGGAGGAGGCTTCCGGATTGTTTACGGATTTTTACCGGATTGTGGGGAGAAGGCTTCCGGATTTTTTACGGATTTTTTCCGGATTGTGAGGAGGAGACTTCCGGATTGCTTACGGATTTTTACCGGATTGTGGGGAGGAGGCTTCCGGATTGTTTACGGATTTTTACCGGATTTTGGGGAGGAGGCTTCCGGATTGTTTACGGATTTTTTCCGGATTGTGGGGAGGAAGCTTCCGGATTGTTTACGGATTTTTACCGGATTGTGGGGAAAAGGCTTCCGGATTTTTTACGGGTTTTTACCCGATTGTGGGGAGGAGGCTTCCGCATTGTTTACGGATTTTTTCCGGATTGTGGGGAGGAGGTTTCTTGTTTTTTTTACGGATTTTTTCCGGATTGTGGGGAGGAGGCTTCCGGATTTTTTACGGATTTTTACCGGATTTTGGGGAGGAGGCTTCCGGATTGTTTCCGGATTTTTTCCGGATTGTGGGGAGGAGGCTTCCGGATTGTTTACGGATTTTTACCGAATTTTTGAGGAGGCTTCCGGATTGTTTATGGATTTTTTCCGGATTGTGGGGAGAAGGCTTCCGGATTGTTTACGGATTTTTACCGGATTTTGGGGAGGAGGCTTCCGGTTTGCTTACGGATTTTCCCGAATTGTGGGAGGAGGCTTCCGGATTGTTTACGGATTTTTACCGGTTTGTGGGGAGGAGGCTTCCGGATTGTTTACGGATTTTTACCGGATTGTGGGGAGGAGGCTTCCGGATTGTTTACGGATTTTTTCCGGATTGTGGGGAGGAAGCTTCCGGATTTTTTACGGATTTTTACCGGATTTTGGGGAGGAGGCTTCCGGATTGTTTACGGGGAGAAGGCTTCCGGATTTTTTACGGATTTTTTCCGGATTGTGAGGAGGAGACTTCCGGATTGCTTACGGATTTTTACCGGATTGTGGGGAGGAGGCTTCCGGATTGTTTACGGATTTTTACCGGCTTTTGGGGAGGAGGCTTCCGGATGGTTTACGAATTTTTTCCGGATTGTGGGGAAGAAGCTTCCGGATTGTTTACGGATTTTTACCGGATTGTGGGGAAAAGGCTTCCGGATTTTTTACGGATTTTTACCCGATTGTGGGGAGGAGGCTTCCGCATTGTTTACGGATTTTTTCCGGATTGTGGGGAGGAGGTTTCTTGTTTTTTTTTACGGATTTTTTCCCGATTGTGGGGAGGAGGCTTCCGGATTTTTTACGGATTTTTACCGGATTTTGGGGAGGAGGCTTCCGGATTGCTTACGGATTTTGACCAGATTGTGGGGAGGACGCTTCCGGATTGTTTACGGACTTTTACCGGATTGTGGGGAGGAGGCTTCCGGATTGTTTACGGATTTTTTCCGGATTGTGGGGAGGAAGCTTCCGGATTGTTTACGGATTTTTACCGGATTGTGGGGAGGAGGCTTCCGGATTGTTTACGGATTTTTTCCGGATTGTGGGGAGGAAGCTTCCGGATTGTTTACGGATTTTTACCGGATTTTGGGGAGGAGGCTTCCGGATTGTTTACGGATTTTTCCCGAATTGTGGGGAGGAGGCTTCCGGATTGTTTACGGATTTTTACCGGATTGTGGGGAGAAGGCTTCCGGATTTTTTACGGATTTTTTCGGATTGTGAGGAGGAGACTTCTGGATTGCTTACGGATTTTTACCGGATTTTGGGGAGGAGGCTTCCGGATTGCTTACGGATTTTGACCAGATTGTGGGGAGGACGCTTCCGGATTGTTTGCGGACTTTTACCGGATTGTGGGAAGGAGGCTTACGGACTGAAGCAACAGCCTTGCTAATTGTTTATGAATTGGAACTAAGTAAGAAGCTGACTTGGGCTACACTGGGTTGAGATAGCTTGGGCTACACTGGGCTCAGATAGCTTGCTACACTGGGTTGAGATAGCTTGGGCTACACTGGGCTCAGATAGCTTGCTACACTGGGCTGAGTTGGGCTACACTGGGCTGAGTTGGGCTACACTGGGCTGAGATAGCTTGCTATACTGGGCTGAGTTGGGCTACACTGGGCTGAGATAGCTTGGGCTACGGTGGTTTGATTAGTGGCGATTAGTGGCAAATTTGGTTTGATTAGTGGCAAATTTGGTTTGATTAGTGGCAAATTTGGTTTGATTAGTGGCAAATTTGGTTTGATTAGTGGCAAAGGTATGAACAAATCATCAATTGAACAAGGTATGAACATGGTATGCGCTACTCGTGCTACCCTCTTGTCGTGGTTTTTTATATCTTGTCGTGGTATAGATTCCACTGTCGTGGTATGACCCAACACCTTCACAAAATTTTGTCGGCTGCTGGATAAAAAGATTCATCAAGCACAGGGATAGACTTTACACGTGGATTAAACATCAATAGTGGTGTAATCAAATGTATATTCCACTGGAACCTCCACAAAAGCAGCCTTTTCTGGGTGACAGTACGAGTTCCACCCTCATTTTTGATAGTGGAGAAAAAGACCTTTGTTGCGTGACTTTCCTATATTTTCGACAATTTCAGTCACCATGTTTCACTGCTCCCTGTTTTGCTGACAATCGTCCCCAATGTAGCTGAAACCCCATGAGTGTTGCTGAAATATTCCCATTCCATTGGACTTCGAACTGCTTGGGATCCCAATCTTGCTCCCATCATTCCTGGGATCCCACTAATAGATTGCTTGCAAGACCTGGTTGTGACTTAGTGGTTCTTGGTGGCCAAGATTTGCCCGTCATAACCCCAACATTTGGCCCAGGACACCCAGGGTGTCCAAAGTCATCACGCCAGGTCTCGCTGCTGCTCCGGATTCATCAGGAAACTCGTGGGGCTCCGGTTCCGCGAGGCACAGTTGGGCATGGGGCAGTTGGGCACCGTGCTGTTGTCCACCATGCCGTTGCCAATGAAGATCTTCCGGCGGACGGAGACCAATGAGACCAAACAGAAATGCCATGGAAAGTAGAAAACTTGGAGGTTTCACCAACAGAAGCAGGGTTCAGGAGCAAACAAAATGACTGGGACTGACCTAGTGCGCCCCAGTTGCTTCCCTGCATTATCCCCGTGGTGCAACTGGGAAGCGATTTCCAGCCAAAATTGAGTCAACATGGCAGGTAGATATGAGAATCAGACTCTTGGGGAAGCTATTCGGGTTGAAGCGTGGTCTCTGGACCAAACTTGTAAAATGTTGATTCAAAATGTCAACCCAGCATGAAAACTTAGCAAGCTTTGCAACCCAACAGCAGGTTCTAGGCTTCCTGGGTTTCAGGGGTCCAGTCTCCCGCTTCGGTCTTCAGAGCCGACAAAAAATGGCGCACCACGCTGCCAGACCCAAAGATTGAAACCCAACAGTCACAGCTGCTGGGACAAACCTGGCCTGCGATGATCGAAAGTCATTTACCTAAAATTCATTCATATTCAGAAATATTCAGAAATATCGAACATCCTAAAATCATCTAAAATCTAAACCAATCATTATACACCAATAAACACCTGCACACCAATATACACCAACCATTCACCGGCCTCGCCTCCGCTGGCCTCACATCATGATGTGCCAACCAGACGGCCTCGGCGTCGCAGCGTCTTCGCTTGGGAAAGTGTGATTTTTCAGGATTTTCAGGATCTAAGGATCGGCGATTCATCGAAAAGTGGGATTTTTTTGGATGAAAGCCTCAGAAATGCTGAAATCTGACCAGGGTCAGGTCCCCTATCCAAATGTCAAAGATGGTGTATCCATTTTCGCTCAGAAGTTCCAAGTGTTGCCAGTGAAATCCAACAGCTGCCGCACCTCAGAGATTCCATCGATCAAGGCATCCAGGGATTGTTGGACTCTGCCGTTGGAGGAGAACTGGAAGAGCATGTAGGCGCTGGCACCTTGGCCCATGGATATTATGGGATAATATGGGATAATATGGATAGTGGATGATAGTGGGGAATCATGGGATGATAATGGGATTATATTGGATTATGTGGGATAATGGGACAGTGGGATTCTTCATGGAATCCAGATTTTAATTACAATAGTGGGATAACAACGGAACGGATAATTATGGGAAGATGAGTCAATGGGGAGTTCAGGAGCTTTCAAATGGAGGTACGTTAGTACCATATGTTTGGCCATATGAATGGTGGGAATATTCCCTGAAATTAAGGCCATATATATGGTAGGTAATTACCTCCAATTTAGGTTCCTGAAATGGCCATTGAATGAGTGTGCTGTTGATAAGATATGGGGTGGTTCTTGTCCCCAAGTCACCATGGTTTCAATAGCAAGTCATTGTCATCCATGACTTGGATGAATTGGGGTACCCCTATTTTAAAGGAAACCTCCATGTAGAGATAGATAGAGATATGTAGATCTGGGTGAATTATAATGATTCACTCATCTAAATATAGGTCGTTATAATTTACCCAGATAGATGTATAGATCCATGATGTACAAAATGAGCCCCTAAACCATGCGGAAAACCCTCAATTCATCAGGCGAATGGTGGGTTTTTGCTATCCAGGTACACATGTATCGTGTGTGTGTGTGCGTATATATATATATTACACATACCATAATTATATATATATACATACATACATAAAGGCTTAAGGCAGGGTGCCCCCCGTCCCTGACCTTTGCGCGCCTTAGCGGGCCACCTCGTGTGTCTGGCCCGCGGGCACATTTGCCTTTGGTGCCTGCTGGTTTGCTCTTCTACGACAACCACCAGGTTCACCTCATCGTCTACGGCTGGGCTGGCTGACTACATCGCTGACTTTGAGCACTTTCTCTTCGTGGTGTATGTCAAGCGCTGGTTCCTACCTCCTTGTCCTCGTCTTCGTTGTCTTCCTGATCAAGGGCAACGGCATCTCCCACCAGCAGAAGGGCATCCCGGCGCCGACGTGCTCTTGCGCGTCAGGCGTGGCATTTGCATCGCACTGGAGCTGTTCGACTCAGTGCAAAGAGGCTGAGAACAGTCTTCACTGTGCTCCACGAGCACCATTCCAGGGATTGGCATTTCCTGCGTCTCATTGCAGCAGAAATGGCCTCGACTGGATGGTTGTGCGGCACTTGCCGCAAAATGCGGAGCCCCAATGCGTGGTATTGCGACCTCTGTGGTGGCAATTGGGAAGAGTGCGCAATCGAACCTGGAGGAGGACACACTTCTTCATGGAAGACGCGCCCCAAGAGCCCCAGGCAAAGAACGAGACAGAAGTCGCGAAGGAAGAAGTCACAATGGGAGCAAGAACATGTGCAGCCGGACTCTCATGCCCAGTGGTCTCAAGGAGGCGGCCCATGGTCGACAGCATATGTCCAGGACCAGAAGGGCAGTGGCAAAGGACTGCAGAACGTGCAGATGGCAGCGCCGCCGCCACCACCACCGCCTATGCTCATGAGTCCACCACCTATGCATGGTGTCCCATGGATGCAGGCACCTATGCCAATGATGCAGCACATGCCTTTCATGCCTCCACAGATGGACTTCACTGCAGCTCAACCGCCGCAACAGATGGCGCCAGAAGCAGCAGAGGCAGACGAGCAGAGGATGGAGTCCAGTGCACAAAAGAAGCTGAACAAGATCATGAAGGCTTCCAAAAAAGAAGAGAATTTGTCGCCGGAGTTTCAGTCTCTCGTGCAGACAGAGAAGAAAAAGGACGACAAGGAGAGCACCAACAATCTCCTTACAGCCGTCCGAGCCCATGGGAAAGCCAAGGAGGCCCTAATGGAAGTGGAAAGCAGCCGTATGCAATTATGGTCGCAATGGCGAACCTTCTTGCACCAGTCTGTCAACAAGTGGAAAGAATATACCTCGCAATTTCAGGCATCGGAGACAGCATTCCAGACGCGCATGCAGGAGGCCACCACCACTCTCCGCAAGGCACAGAGGAGAGTGGACATTGCCAAGAAAAGGGCAGATGCCACTGGTGGAGACGACGAAGTGCAATATGTCACCGACGACGAGATGGAGGAGTCCGAGACCCTCGAGGATCCAGACATCCCCAAGGACGAGAATGCGCAGAAGATTCAGGAAGGCTTGGACCAGGTAGTATCCAGCTTGATGGTTCTATCCGAGTCAGCCGACAAATTGGAGCCAAAATCAAAGAGACCGCGCACCAAGGAGGAAGAAAATACTGGTGGAGAAAAGGTCTCGCCAGCTATGCAGCCTTTTGGCAAGGCCGGTGCACGATGACCAACAGGTACGTGCATCAGTGGCCACAGATGAGCTTCGATGCACAAGCAGTTTGCTTGCATTGGAGTCATAGTGTGCTGTCCGAGCCAACCTTTTTGAATCCCTGGAATGCCATAGAGAAAGCAACAGAATTGGCCTATGAGTTGGGTGAGCCAGATGCCATTGTTGTTTCTACCTTTGCACTGCCGAGGAGAGAAAAACCAGTACGACCTTTGAGAAGAATCAGTTTCAACGAGAATGTCCAAGTCTTTCAGGGGAAAGGCCAGATTTCAGAGTTCCAAGCTGAATGGACGTACCTCGTTGACAGCGATTCCTCATTGGCCGCCATCACAGTTCCCGTAGATCCGCCAGGACACCATCATCATGGACATGCGCAAGGGAGTTCCACACCTAGTGCATCTTCAAGATCAGATCTTCCGCATATCCTGGACAGGAGACTACCGCATGATCTACCTGGCTATGTGCATCATTTGCAACAATTTTGGCGAGATGAGTATATCAGACTGCAGGTTGATGAGCCCTACCATGTCCGAACTTGGTATCTCCATCATGTACATGACCGCATTTGCAAGATCCCGCGCATTGTGCGACTTGCTCAAGATGCTCGCCTCTGGCATGATGCACTCCTCCGGGCGTGGAGAGATTTGCTCCACAACGACGAGGTCCTCAACATTGCAGTTGCATTCCCGCGTATTCGCACGGGGCCCAATGAGATCACCCATGCTGACCTTCTCCTCACACAAGGCGACCATCAAGAATGTGGAGGCATTGTCACTGTCTATCCGCCTGGACAAGATGATCAGTTACACTACGTGTGCGCAGCATCCTTGCCGAGGCATGTTAGCGGTGTCAACATCCTAGCTGGAGTAGAAGCAGATGATCTCCTGAGAAGTCATGCATGTGATTTATTTCATGGTGGCACGCCCATCCCAGTCACCACGATGCCGACGCACCACATGGCGAATGGCCACTCTTTTGTTGCTGTCTTTCAGGATCTCACAGAGGGTCGTCATGGTCGAGGCCTACACCAAGAAGATTCACGTGCAGCCTCTACTGCCACAACAGACCATGACCAATCTGGTGAAATACCCAATGACGTTCAGGAGGAAATGAGTGCGGCTGCAGAAGATGCAGAGGAAAGTCCAGCAGTCCAGAGCTCTAGCTTTGATGAAGAAGAACTGCAAGGCCTACAGATCTTTGGACTCAACAGGTCTCCACATCACTGCTTTGTGCGATGGCGCACCTACAATGTCATTCTTTTTGACATCCTCCAAAATATCGGACTTCATCGAGATCTTGCAGTCGGCTACCATTACATGCAATCGCAGCTCATTGATCAACATGAAGCGGAAGAAGCAGTCATACTACAACGAGTTGGCGATATCCCTGGAGGTTCGTCTGACAGCCTTGTCCTTGTTGACATCACCTACAAGTTCAGACATGGTGCTCAGCGAACATATCACCGTCAGGTCAGAGTACTGCCCAAGACTCTCCAGAGAGATGAAGTCTTTGTTCATCTGCGCCTGCAAAAGCCCTGCATTGACCAACCAGAACAATGCGAGGTATATTTTAATGCCCAACCATGGCCACAAGCAGACATGTTGCCAAAGGAGTTCCAACATGGCACGTATTTGCGCATTGAGGTTTCTCAGGATGATGCCATCACATGTGACAAGAGTCCTGATGAGAGAGTAGATCAGGAAATTGAAGGCCCCGCAACAAAGAAAAGAAGAGAAAGTGATCCAGCCACTCCACGTCAAGGCAGACTGTCCGCGAGATCAACAGGAAATGATGGAGTATCTCTCCTACAACATCATTCCGCAGTTGATGAGAGACATGCGAAGAGTCCAATTGCATGCAGTGCCACTTTTTCCAGTCTTGCAGGGCATCCCACTGCTAGGAATGGTCCCACACGGCACAAACCTACTGGAAAGGATCCCAACCCAAGAGCGTGGATGCCACCAGTCAAAATGAAGTTCAGAGAATGTGCGGTGACAGAATATCAGGATGAGGGTCCTGTCTTCTACTGGACTACGTGGTATCTTCATCATGCTAGATACACAAGAACCTTTGAATCGAGGATTCTCCGCCTGGACTCTGAACATCAGTTCTGGTACCAGGAACTCTGTGCCCTATGGGATGACATTCTGGACCACGAACAAGAGGTTCAGGTGAATTTTGTTCACCCCTCACCGCCGGAGGCATCAGAACACCGTCATGTTGGGCATCTACTATTGGTCCAGGGACAAGGAGCTGCCGTTCCAGTTCTCCTCACCGGTCTGTTTGACCACAGTACAATGAGAAGAGCCTGGCATCTTGCAGCCCTTCTTCCTGACTTCATCAGCCCTGCGGAGCTTTTTGACATCTTGGGCATTCAGCGTTGGTGTGCAATAAGGGAGTGCAGTGTACAATGTGGCCATGATCCTGTGCCAGCCAATGGGCTGGCCCACCTCCATTCAGGCGACGCTGTGACAATCACCATTCCGAGCACACAGACGGCAACGACCCATGATCAAATGTCATTGATGCAAACTAGATGGAGGGTTAGAACAAGAGGACAGGAGGCTACAAGCAGCACAGAAAACATGTGCATGAACTTCCACTTGAACCCACATGCACAGCCGTTTGATCCAACCAGAACAGATCTACGTGCTCTTTCAGAATTCCATGCTGACCTATGGCAACGATGGGATCAGGAAGCATTTGCGTGGGAAGATGAAGACCGCTCATGTGCCATTCAAACTTGGTTTGTAGACCATACCTGGCAGCGGCCGCACTCCCGAGTCTCCAGACGACTGCAATTGTTCTCTGACTTTCATCAGTGGGAAGAGCAGATCCGTGCGCTGTGGCGTGATGTACATGATCCTCAAGCTCCTTTGGAGACCTATGTCGTCGCGCCCATGCCACCTGCCCCCCACAATGACATCGCGGCTCATGTGATCCTCATCCAGAATCCCAACGAGGCATGGATCACGAACCTTGCGACAGTCATTGACACCACGAGACAAGTTTACATAGCTCAGCAACTGGCTATTACCACTCACGAGCACTTGAGGGCGGAGAATGTTCTCATTGCTGCAGAACTTGATGCAATTTGTCTTGGTATGCAGGCCACACACCAATGTCAAGTCTGGATTGGAGCAATCCCGCTTCCGTATGGTCAGGTTTTTCCAGGAAGAAGTGGTTCAAGTATCGTCGTACGAGCGAGACAGGCACCTCCATTTTCGCAACCTGATGGACATAGCCTTCTCCAAACACACATGAGAAGACGACATAGCCGGGAACGGGATGTGCGCCCAACAGACAGTTCGGTGGCTCATGACTGTCGGCCATCCCCGAAGCAGTCTGGCATATCTGAAGACCACTTTGAGGCATTCGTCGCGACCAAAGAGACGTCACTGGTCACTTTGAGCCTAGAACAATTGATTCCAGACAATGAGGCTGCAAAGCTCAGAGCCGCCACCCCATCGCAAATTCTCCCGACCTACATTGAAATTCCGAAAGGTACGTCGGAGGCTGGAGTACAAAATGAGCTCCAACATTGGGGATGCAACTGCAAAGTATACCGATTTGGCCTGCGAAGTGAATACCTATGCTTTGACCCTCTACATGCTGTCAATGAGGCGCAAATTCACTATATGCTTTGTCATGATGATCTCACAGACGTTGACGGAGCCATTTTACATTCCAGTGAAACAGCACTGACTACACATGAACTGATGAGACTCCTCTATCAGCTCACGTACACGAGGGCGGTCATTGTTCTTGAGGAAGAGCCAGAGCCGTATTTGCGCCGCGTGCGTTTTTACAACTGCACACCGGCAGCACAACAAGATCCATTCAGAGAAAGACAACAAACGCCATGGCCAGAACGAATAGAGAATGCCTGGACACAGAGATCTTTCTTTGATTTGGAAGCACTCCAATGTGACGCTGGTGAAGCTTCATGCATGGTATATACCCCATTCACCAAAGAAGACTTGCGGGAGCTCACACAAGCAGCAACAGATGCACTTTGCACTGACTTCTCTTGTCTCCAGCTTCCAGAGTCCATCGCTGGCCCACTATTGGCGCATGGAGTTGGAGATCTGAGAGACAGTTGGGACAGATGGCTCATTTTCACTGATGGCTCCTCGCAGACAAAAGACAAGCACCACACCCCGGAATACGCAGATGCCATGAACAAGCCAGATGCATGGGCAATGCTGCTCCTGGGTGAGCGGTACACTGCCACTGGAGAGAGCACTGTGATTCCTCTTGGATGGATGGCACACCCAGTGCGCACAGATCCCCTTGGATCGTGCTATGCAGGAGCACAGCGCATCGGAGCAGAGGTAGCAGAACGTGAAGGCCTATTCTGGTCGGGACTTTGGCGGTTAGCACAAGATTGTGTTACCCCCACGCTCTTCTGTGTGGACTCCCAAGTCACCGGAGCACAAGCCATTGGACAGACAGGAGCTCTTGAACCAGATGTGTCGTATCGTCTACTTCGAGGTGTGTTCCAATGCTTGCAATTTGGCTTGCCACCACAGCATGTTGGTATTCACCATGTTCGATCCCACACAGGGGATCCTTACAATGAGTTTGTGGACCACATTGCGAAGAAGGAAGCCATGCAGAGCTTCAATCTGCCCAGAATGCGCTTGAATATGCAGAAGTGGATAGACAAGATTCCGCATCTCTGGTTGAGATTTGGAGAGAGATGTGGATTGCCACAATGGAATGATGGCTTTGTTGCGCCTCCACCGGAACTTCCTCCACTACAACAGCCAGATGCCAATGCAGCTGAACACAACTGTGCTGAAGTTGCCCTACATTGTCAGCTCAGTTTGGCCACGATGAATGTCTGTTCCATCTCCAGGGGCCCAGATGGACATGCAGGAAAATTACGCTACTTGTTTGACCAAGTGAAGGCTCATGGGCTCAACCTGGTGGGAGTACAAGAAGGCCGCAATGATGCAACGCATAGTACCTCCCATGGAATTTGCCGCATTTGTGCAGGCCATTATGATGGACAATATGGAGTAGAACTGTGGGTTAATCTGCAGCAACCAATTGCATATGATGGCTGCAAAAGACCATTCTATCTCCAGCCGCACCATCTTCAAGTTGCTCATTGCGATCCTCAGAGACTCATTGTTCGGTGTCACCTGGAAGTTCTCTCCCTATGGATCTTTGTGGCACATGCGCCGCATAGTGGCCACACAAGACAAGTCCGTACGGAATGGTGGGCTCGGACGCAAGAGCTGATTGATCATTATGGTGAAGGAACACCTTGGATTTGGCTGATAGATGCCAACGCAGCACCCGGGACAGCTGACCAGTGCACTGTCTTCAGGGATATGCCAACAAGTCGTAGCACAGAACTCTTTCGTCAATGTCTTGCTGCCAATGATCTTTGCCTCCCTGCCACAATGGAATGCCACTTTGGCACAAACACTACGTGGACAAGTTTGGATGGCAACAGCGAGCACTGCATTGATCATGTGGTTGTGCCGCGACAATGGAAAGCCAACTGTACCTACTCCAGTGTGTTGGACACCATGGACTTGGGCAACTCACACGAAGATCACCGAGCAGTGGCGTTGCAGATTTCCTGGCAGACCTATGCTCTTGTTCATCGACAAAAAAGGACGCCACGCAAGGTTGATTGGAGCAGACAGGAAGTTCGCCAACAATTGAGTGCCCACCTCCATCAGCCCTGCACACAAATATGGTCGACTGATGTGGAGCAGCAAGCAACTCATCTTGCTCACCATTTACATGGTGCATTGATGCAATGCCCAAAGGCATGTCCAAAAGCAAAAAAGCCCTACATCACGGACCAGCTTTGGGACCTTCGTTCAGATAAATTGAAGATTAAGAAGCGCCTCACGGAAGTCAACCGAGCACTCCGTGGTCAAATGCTGCATCAGTTCTTCCGAGCTTGGCGCAAAGCACCAACAAAACAGACTGGAGATGAGCACTGTGCGTATGGAAATACCCTACATTGTGGTAGGCTTCGACTTGTGGCGGCATTTCGCCGCCTCTCCAAGCAGCTCCAGCATGGACTACGCACTGCCAAGCAAGCTCACCTTTCCGAGAGATTGGCAGGCCTTGATGCCTCCACTCCAGCGGCCAATATTTTGCGCTGCTTGAGAGACTTTGTTGGACCCACCAATGCCAAAATGAGCAAAAAGAAGACAGTACCACTCATTCACAATGAATCGGGAAACCCGTGCAGTACGCCTTTGGAAGCACAAAACACCTGGATTGAGTTTTTCCGGGACATGGAAGGAGGACGACGCCTCTCCTGCCAAAGTTTACGAGCGAACTGGCGGCAAGGGCTCTCAGCCGAACAAGAAGAACGCTTTGTCGTCAATGCCGCAGAGCTTCCAACACTCACAGACATGGAAATTGCAATGAGGAGAACGGCGTGTGGCAAAGCAAGAGGAGGAGATGAAGTGCCAGGAGAGCTCCTGCACATGTTCCCTGCAGAGATCGCGCCGATGCTCTACCCTGCGCTGTGGAAGCTTCTACTTCATGGACAAGAAGATCTTTCCTACAAGGGTGGGCTCCTTGTACAAGCGTACAAGGGAAGGGGAGCAACACATAGCTGCTCCTCCTTCAGGTCCTTGCTGATCTCTAGTCAGGTCGGAAAAGCACTACATCGCACAGTGAGGACGCACCAAGCCAGCATATTTGAAAAGTTCATGCAGAAGAATCAATTTGGTGGTAAACGAAAAATGCCGGTCACCTATGGCCTCCATCAAGTGCGAGCCCATTTGCGATGCGCGCAGAAACAGCAAAAGTGCGCAGCGGTAGTGTTCATCGACCTGACCGAAGCATTTTACAGGATTTTTCGCCCGCTCTGCATGGACAACGACCTATCGGACGAAGCTTTAGCAGCCTTCCTCAAGAAGCTCAACATGCCAGATTCAGCCCTTCATGAGCTCTGGATTTTGTTGGATGGCCCCAACGCTTTGGAGCTGGCGGACATGCCCTACCACCTGCGCAAAAGCATTGCTGCCATCCACAGAAATACGCACTTCTGGATGAGACATCAGCCAGATGTTGTGGAGACGGCCTTTGGGTCGAGACCAGGAGATCCATTTGCCGATGTTTGCTTCAGCTATGTTTGGGCGCGTGTGTTGAATCGACTACAAGATTTCATGACTGAGCACGACATCCTGGAGACATATCCTGCCTTGCCCTACCTGAACCTGTTTGGAAGTGAAGCAGCTGAGCAGCCTCCATATTCCATTGAGCCCTTCATGGGGCCCACGTGGATGGACGACACTGCCATCTGCCTCAGCCATTCTGACTGTGATGGATTGGTCAACCGTGCCACACAGACGGCCGGTAAGTTGCTTGAGCTCTGTGTCGAGCATGGCATGTCCCCGAACCTCAAGAAAGGCAAGTCTGAGATCCTCCTGAGTTTTCGAGGGAAAGACTCCAGACGCCACAAGCTCCAACACTTCGGGCCGCAAGCACCAATGCTACTTCCGGTCGTGACTGAGCATCAGTCTTACCAGATACCGATCACCAACAATTATCTTCATCTTGGCGGACTCCTACATCACGGCGCTGACCAGCGCACTGAGATCAGAAGGCGCTTAGCGCTGGCTCACTCAGCGTTCAATCAGCACAGGAAAGTGCTATACCACAACAAGCAGATCCCCTTGAAGAAGTGTAGTGAGCTATTCCAGGTGCTCATTGTCACCAAGCTACTTTATGGCGCCGAAAGTTGGCTGGTCACCGACAATCGAACTGTTGCTACGTTTGCGGCAGCCATTCTGAAGCTTTATCGGCGATTGCTCCAACTACGGCCTGACCAGCACTATTCCACGGAGCAGACTTTGGCTGCAGTTGGATTGCCCTCACCGGACACGCTCCTACGTCGACAGCGCCTCCGCTACCTTTGCACTTTGTTTCGTTGCGGAGGAGGAGATGCTTGGGGATTGCTCTCAGCAGATGTTGACTGGTGCGGCTATGTAGAAGCAGATTTGCAATGGATGTGGGAGCAGCTACGACGAAGCTCGGACCTGCCCCAGCCAAGTTCCAATTTTGGTCACTGGCGCAACATCATCCAGCAATACCCGAAATTCTGGAAGAGGCTCATTCGTAGAGCCACAGAGCATGAATGCCTTCAAACCAAAAGACAATGGACCATCAAGGAATTTCATCTTGACATGGTGGACCGTCTTCGAGATTTCCACGCCCCTGGAGCTGTATGGCAAGATGATGCAGAAGATGCTGAGAAAGAAAAGCATTTTGGATGTCTGAAATGCGGCCTTACATGTGCAACCAAGGCTGGAGAGGCGGCACATATGTTCAAGAAGCATGGCCACGTCGCAGCGACTAGAAAGCTCTTCATGGAGCCAACATGCCCCGCTTGTTTGAAGGTTTTCCACACGCTCCAGAAGACGAAAGCACACATCCATTATTCTGCTCGATGCCGACAAGCCCTACAAAGCAGACCCATGCAGGACACCATCGCACCTGGTTCGGGATCTGCACATGACAGACAATTGACCTTGCGTCATGACCGCCTTCTACCACCGGTACAAGCAGAAGGACCTCATAACCAACCTGCAAGACCACGTGATGCACCAGGAATTGATGATGGGCTGTTTGTCTTTTTGACAGACAGGGTTGAACCAGATATGAGCTTGGCTGGATTTGAAAGGGCTGCCAGGGAGTATGTGGAGGAGCATGCTATTTCC